GCAAGCTGGTTTGGAAATAACAACCGGCGTTTCAAATTGAACGGTGGAGATCGAAAGAGGCAACAAATGATGATAAATCTCCAAATATCTCACACGTTTAGAAACAGAGGATGGAATATTTTAACTAAATATAGCCAACGATAATCGATAAATTAATCGTGTTTTTCCGATACGGATTCGTAAATCATTGCTCGAGACATTTCGCTGGTAAATTGTGAAAATATAACCACAGAAATTGGTAGCAGAGATGTATAATGCTGCTTTCAATACGAATCTGTTATTCCCGTGTCAATTTATAGATCATTGTTGTTCGATTTAGGGTGGTTCATGGAAACGGAGTACAGTCGGCCGTAATCGAGGCTCGACGAACGAGTTGGGGGAAGCAACGTGATTTTGAAATATAGCCTCTTACAGAGAGGGTGTTCCTCTGAATTGCGCAACCCTTCAAACTTCGCATCACCGTTCTCCACTTTAATCTTCTCAGCACCCAAGAGCTGATAAATCGCCTCCGCGGTTCTTATTTCGGTCTTTCTTCGATCAATCTTCGCGACAGGAAATTTTCTACCCAAAATAATGTAGCATGCGTTTCCGAGATTTTCACAGGCTCTGCGAGTCCTTCAATACAATCAATGAGATGTGCCAATGCTTTGCATAATAGTTTTAAATACTAGCGAAAAACAATTGCAAGCTCCGAAAATAAAAGCTGAAGTTGAAAATGACGGAGTCACGGAGATTTTATAAAATTGAGACAGAGAACACGGGGCATGAAGATAAAGAAACGATCTCGTATTTTCGGATTTTTATTCAGTACATATACAAGACCCAACGATCTGAGACTAACAGCAAGAGGGTTAAGCATTCTGCGCGTTGGGGGGTTGAAACTGAAGGGTTGTCTCCGATATCGACGTCCACTTGCTGGAAATAACTTAACGCGGGGAAATTTCCCGCGAATAAATTAGAAACAGTTACACGACGGAGTCGAAACCGATGGAGGAATGTCAAGTCGTCTGAATTAATTGCCCTCTCGTTCGAGCAGCTGATTCATTTGGACAGCTGGAAGATAAATATAGCTAGTTTTCGTGGAACGTTCCTTAGAATTTCGATTTCTAATAAAACGTACGAGCGCTCGTTTATCGATCGGCACGACTAATAAGAGCGCATAGAAATCGTGGAAAACATTGCGCAACGCAACAAAGAGCAGCTCGAACTGCGACGAGATGCTGGATTTTTTGCCTTTTTCTCGCCGCGATCTCCTCCTCCTTTTCTCTCTCTCTCTCTCTCACTCACTCCTCTCCCAAGGTATCTCCGCGAGATCAGCTAATTATTTCAGTAATTTGCATGAAAATCGATCGAAAGAGAAGGCCTTTTTTATTTAGCAATCGTATCCGCGTTCGATCCTCAATGCCGATGCATTCAATTCAATTTTCTTCTTCGTCAATTATACGCTCTATAATTGCCTCCGTTACGACCGAGAATCTCGTTTCACGATCTCTTCGGGAAAAATTCGTTCGAGACATTTCCTCCATCGAATATAAATTTCGAACGTTCTGAAAATAAAAGGCAAGTAAGGGAAATAACAGTTGAAATTAAAAATTAACCGACTCTGAAATATTGAGACTCTTTGCACGGAATGATCAATCTAGGTGTTATTATCTTTTATTCAGGGCGAAAACAAGAGGAAACGAGTTCGAATAATTTTTCAGAGTCAGTGAAGAAATATTATACAACTATTGATTTATTAAATAGTATTTAATTATAACTAAAGTTATTTCTTCCCTTTCGATGAATGGAAGTTTTAACGTCGAAAATTATGATTGTCAAAAGCTGGACACGGATACCTATTAATAGTCTGCTTTTAAACGTGCAGTGTTTAAAGATTATTTACTGACTTTTGATTACATTTCTCCCCGCTCAAACACTTGTAACGATTGAAAATTATTCACAATCGATCTCCTTGGCGAATGCAAACAATCTTTAAACGCGAACGAGAAACTCGAACGTCGTCACAATGTCGCAATTTCCGTGATCGATCGTGAGAAATGGAAAACGCATCGCGATTCCGAGAGGGGATCTTTCGCCGAATCGTTCCGAGGATCGTTACGCAACGGAATCGACAAAGGAGCCACGAGAGTCCACCTCCGCTGCGGATCGTTTCGCGGAATCACCGTGGTATCTCCGCGAGATCAGCTAATTATTTCGAATGCGCATCCCTCGATCGGTCGGATTAAAATCGATTTCGTGGGCCCTGTCGATTCTCGGCCGGAAACCGACGGATCCTCGAATATCCAGACTAATTGGGACCCTTAGCGAGCGAGCACGAAAGAGAGAGCGAGAGAGGGGCAGAAAAAGAAATACGAGATGGAAGATCAACGCACAAAGGACGAGTCTTCCTCGTCAGAGGTGGAATCGCAAAAGCCTCGGTTCCCGAAGCGGGAAGCACGCGGTTTCGTGCAACGAAGGGAGAGGGGAAAGGGGAGGAGACGTAGCCTCGAGTCTCTCGGTGGAAAATTTGAAATTCAGAAGCGACGAGAGAGCAGAACGAGAACCAGAACGAGATCTTACCGGCCTTTTGTCTCGTCTCGAGAGATCGCTCGTTTCCACAGTCGTTCACCTCCGCCCTACAAATCTGTCAATTGTCTCGAGACAAATCTCGGGGAATATAACCGATATGTTTTGACGCGCGAGTATCTCTCTCTCTCTCTCTCTCTCTCTCTCTCTCTCTCTCT